TACGGCGGTGGCATATAAATTAGTTAATCCTTTTACCCGCCAAAAAAGTGGGTGGTTTGGATTTTTAAGTAGAACAAATTGCAATATATCAGAACCGTCCCTGATGTTCTCCAATATATCACCAAAGACCCGCCTTCCAAACGCACCGTTTGGCCATCTCAAGACTCAGTTTTGAAGCTGAAGCTGAAGCCTTTCCTCGTCGATTTGAAAATGTGCAGTGATTCGAAGCTCTCGCGGCTCTGCCGTTTGGTCGATGACTGTCTCCGTCCGTACACTGTAAGTTTCTCCCTACTCTATGATTAGGGTTTCATTTTATTGGTTGTTTCAGAAGCTCAATTCTCTGTTGCTTTGCAGGAATCCGGTGTCGTTTTGGTGACCAAAGAGCGAGAAATCCTGGTCACTCTCTCTCAGCTTCTTCGACAAGTCAAGCTCTTGACCCAAGCACTTGACTCCGACTCTGAAAATGTCAGTCTCTCTCTCTCTCTCTAAAAACTACAAATTTGACTTTTTTTGGGATGAAACCCCAAGGCGTAAACTTTGAAGTATTTATCTTCCGTTAATCCTTGTTATCAGGGCCCAGTGATAGGATTGGATTGTGAGAGTGATTGCATGTTTCTAACTAAAATCGTAACTCACTTGGTAAGTTCAGCTTCTTCTTTCTAAGTAAATGAATTTTTTGTGGTCATTTCGCAGTATATAAATGATTAAGCTTCAAATTTTGTTGCTTTTTCAACAGATAGTTTTGTTAACAGTGGAGAGTCAATATGTCAAGCATCTGACGTGCAATGTTCTAGTTGCTGTCTCAGAATTCCTTGCTGCTTTGGTATTTTACAACTTCAATCCCTTAGTGGATGTAATTTTGTACTTATGGTTGTTTACTTCATTTTCTTAGCTATATGTATTTTGTAGGGAAGCAACTGGGGTGCCTTTATTCATTTGTTGTGTGTTTGTATGGATTTGGCGATCACTGTGGCGATTCAATGTACTTCATCACATTTGACAACTGAAGCTGATGATCTTCACTCTGGTTCATCAAGTTTAGTTCTTGTGTTAAAACGTAAGCTGGAAAATGCTGACTGGTCTGTCGCAGCTGGTGTTGTTCGAGTTTTACGTAATATACGAAAATATTTGAAGTCGGAAGATGATGATGTACTTGTTGAACTGTTCTTTGATAATGTCAATTCTGTTCTTTCAACCGTCCCTTGGAATTTATTACAAGGGATTCATGTTGGACCAAATCTTGTTGCTCAGAAAAGCTCTGGTGCGGATGTTTTATTTCAAAGATCCTTGTTTCTGGGCAACTTGGTTCAGTTTCTCTGTTCCTTGGCTGAGCAAAGTGGTTCTATGGAAGCTGCAAGTGGATCTGTAGACAGGCATCATCCAATTATTTCTACAATCATCAACCTTGTACCCAAGCTTTTATGTTCGTGCCTTGATGAGCAAGCAGATTGTGTTAACTTTAACAAGTGCATCTCTCAATACTTTAGACACAAGTTATTGGTATGAGTTAGCCCGAGTCTTTTCTTTGTGAATAATGAATGTGCAGAAGTTAACTGTTGATGGTCAGCAGATCTTACGAATGTTGGTTCTGGTTCTAAGCCGAAAATCTAAGCATGGACCAAGTGTTTGATGTCATAATGCATTGATAACTGTATACCATTTGCTATTTGAAAGGGTCTTGAGCAACAGGCCTAACTGTTAGTACTGTTATTTTCCGGGGATGAAGGCTTAATTGAGTTGGGCTGAGTAATACCCAGAATTTGAAACCCTTCAATCTAACGCAATCAGAACTAATTATGATGCTAGAGTGTTATCTAGGCATTCCCTGTAGAGACGCTAGTGAAGATTTGTTTCTTCTTTTTGAAAAATTAATCTCTCATAGAACAATTTCCTTTGTATTTTATTATGAGAATTTTATATGTTAGCTTTCTTTGTAATCCTTATAGCTTTGCAGTGACACTTATATAAATTTACAAAAAGTAATGCACCAGATCCTTGTGAATGTTATATTTTATATGTCATGATTTTATTAAAGACATGCTTCTTGACTAGTTTTTACAACAATTAGCTGGGAATGTGAGGTATTTGCGGATATATGTTACATTATTTCTTATGCTTGTGTTATGCACCGTATGGAATTTGATCACAAGTATACTGTGCTAAACATGTCCTGCAGGTGCTCATGATCAGGCTCATTTTCCAAACTTGTCAGGAATTCTCAATTCCTGTTACATGGTTGCAACTTATTCATAAGTACTTTGAAGATGTTTTGCGGAATCCCTTTACTCTTGAGAATGATCAGGATGATTGTCTGGAAGGCTCTCCATTTCTTTCCAGTGTTTCTGATGCAGAAGTAAATAGTCCGTCTTCTCGCCATCTGCAAAGACAGGCTGTTTTCCTTTTCCTGAGGTGTTCTTTTAGCTTGATTAGCACAAAAGGAGGCACTAAAAACAAATGTGCTTGTACAACTTGGAATTTACGCTTGACCTGTGATTCAAATGCAGAGCTTCTGTGTTGTGGAAGAAAGAAAGGTCTCTTGGAGCTTTATAACTGGCTTCAAGGGCATCTTCCAGCTAACATGACAGTGGACCATGAAATGTATTTTGTAGAATGCGTTGACTTTGCCAAATCCTTCATCCAACTGTATATCAAAGAGGTATGTCTTCTTTATCTTTGAAACTGGGAGTTTTTTTGTCTATGTTTATATGCAACGTGATATAAGCAAAATAGGCAATCTATTCACCCAGACCCAAAAAGAGAAAAATTGTATCCGTATTTTGTTTTGTCTATCTGAATGCATCATCTTATTCAACAAGTTCACGTACTAAAATTGCGCTTCTGTATTCTTCATTTGTCGTATTTTTCTTGCAGTTTTTTAGACTCATGTCCTCGTTTCTTGGCTTGTTTTTGAACTGTAGGATGATGTATTATTCAAAGTGCTCTTGCATATGCTTTGTGTACCTTGTTGTGTAGAACAGTAAGGAATTAATATCCTAGTTTTCCATTGTTTTAAAAGTTATTGTCATGGATTCCTTTTAACAAGATTTTTGGGTTTATATAGGGATGAAAAGGAAAAGGTTGCATCGGAGGATTCGAATGGCAATTTACTTTTCCGTGTCTCAGATCTTTTCAATCCTGTACTCTTGTTCCATCTTTTCCTATTAGAGGCAAGATGCTCACTCTTGGACATTTACGTATCTGCATTTCCACTTCGGCATGCCTCCTAGTTGTTAATTTGAAATATATATGGTATTGCAGAATAATAAAAAATCACTGACATTGTGCACTTTCTTTTTTCTTCCTATTTTGCAGTTGAGCTATGACCATCAGGTGCTTCTTGATTACCTTATTTCAAAAGATAC